AATCTGGATCATCGACTGTCTAGACTGACCAGCTGGTGAGCACTCAGGCTCCACCTGTCCCTGTTTCCCAGTGCTAGGGTTACAGGTGTGTGCCGCCACACTTGTTCTGAGGTGCTAAGGATCTGCATCAGATCCTCAGGTGCGTGCTCAAGCACTCTGCCTACCACACTACCTCCACAGCCCTTCTTTAAACTGACGCTATGTCCTCTTCAGACATAATCTTCCCTCTCCAAAAACTCTGTCCAGGGAATGGTTCTAGAAGGTTAACTTTGTATCAAATGACCCCACTACCCTGATACATCCCAACCCAAGAGGAATGAATCCATGATTTTCTAGTTGAAATTTGAAACTCAAGTTCAAGAAATGAAGACTATGATGGGAACTAGGAGATGGAACCTATGTGATCCAGGGAGACTGGGGGACTGACACCAATTCAGTAATAAAACAATTTATGAAGACTGAAATATAGTGCTAAGTTAAAGAACAGCAGGGGATCAACGGGGATTGGGGGGCTGTGAGAAGATAGCATTAAGCTCAGGTCATGCAAAACACTAGGAAATCCTTGCAGAGAGCAAGTGTAGAGGTCCTGGGGCATGGAGAAACTGAGGCTATTCTAGAGAGCAGTGAGGTCAAGTCAAAGCATGGAGAGAAAGAGCAAGGTAAAGTACGGGCCAGCATGCCAGAATGAACCACAAGGGCAATCAAGAAGGAAAAGACTTCACAGTCTCCATATTCTGGACTATCACTCTGTCCTAAGATAGACATAATGACCAATAAGACAGAAGAAAAAGCCCCCAATTAACTCACACATCCAGTCAACTGATGTTTTTGAAGGGTACTGTGACCTATCGAAAGAGGAAAGACAGTCTTCATCAAATGGTGCTGGGATAGCCATTTGGAAAGAGTGTGGAAAGAGTGAAGGTGAGCTCATCACTCACAGGCACACAGAGAGCAACTCAAAGACATGTAACGAGAAAGTCTTCAAAGAAAGGGGACTGGAGAGGGCAAAGACGGCTGGTATGCACAGAGATGAGTGAGACAGAGAGGAGAGGGAAGGATGAGGCATCGTGTGGATTGGAGGGAAACAGCTTTCCTGTCACTGTTCCGGTGAGACTTACTCCACGGTGGAGCCAGACTGACTGCGCAGCCCAACCACACATTTTCTTGAAAGGAAACAAGCTCTGGTGACCACCAGGGGCACAGCTGAGGTCCGGGTGGTTTGCAGCCTGGGGACAGGGCACAGAGTGTGAGGCAGTTGCTTTCTGAAGCTAGACCACGGCTCTTTGAGAGCTGACAAACTGACTTCTCTCTCCATGGCCTCTGAGAAGCTAGCACAGTGCCTGCCTGCCCCAGGGTAGGACTTCAAAACCTGTTGGGAGAAGGCTGAAGAGTCCTGTGGGGAGTCCACAGGGATCCTGGCTTCCAGATTCTCATGAAATTTACATACAACCGGTACTTGTGGAATGAAGCACTGAGTCCACCCTCATTACTGATTTGAATGGCCATGCTTAGTTCTGACCAAAGACTCTGTAACTGTGCTGTTTAAAGCCAACATTTATGCTAAATTTTCAATTTCCTGGAACCCTTCTCTGAAGTCTGAGTTCTGTGATTCCCAACAGTCTGTATCACACCAAGTTAAGAAAAGCTAGAGTTGTTTCCTGATGAACATAGAACATACACATCACAGCAAGTCATCACATATGGACACTTCACATCAGTAGATTCAGTCACTACATGAAAATATTAGGGGGAAACTGTGTCTGTAATGAACATGTGTGGACTGTTTTCTTGTTATTTTCGAACATAACTACTGTTTCTGTGGCATTTATGTTGTATTAGGTATCCTGAGTGCCCAGAGGTGACAATGCATATGGAGGATGTGTGTCAGATGTATGCAAAGATGCTACTTTACATAAGGGACTTCAACATTCTTAGATTTCAGTATCCAAGGGAGTGCTAGAATGAAGTCTGCCATAGAGACCAACCTATTGTATTACTCTGAGGTGAGAGAAAACATCACCTTCCTTTAAAAAACATGGAGTGGCAATTTCAGTGATCCTTGATCCCAAAGGTGGAGTTCTGCTCACTTCCTCTGTCTCAGTCATTCCAACCTTCAGCACAGATGTCATTTTTGATATGGAAAAACAAGGCCCAATGTAGTTTACAAAAGGAAGAAAACTGTTACGAAGAACAGTTCAATGCCAAGACTGACTGCCACATCCAAATCCAAACAGTGACTCTGAAGATGACATGCCAAAAAAAAAAAAAAAAAAGATATTTACAAAACAGTTAAATGGAAAAGTCATAATGCAAAATTAAGTGCATGATTTTATTACACCCATGTAAAAGTGAAGTTTGTAGCCTTAAAAACCAGAGGTGCTAAAGAGAAATGAAAACACTTGCTACAAAGTAGTGAGATTGTCCATGGAATTTTAAAATACACTTAAATGTTAATTAAAATAAAATTATTTATTATGACTATTAATTAAAATAGTCATTTATTTATTTTTATGTGTATGAGTATTTTGGCTGCATATATGTCTGTGTCCATAGAGGTCAGAAGAGGGAGTCAGATCCCCTGGAACAGGAGTTACAGACAACTGTGAGCCTCCATTTGGGTGCTGGGACTTGAACCTGGGTCCTTTGGAATAATAGCAAGTGCTCTTAATTGCTGAGCCATCTCTCAACCCTATTTAAATTTTATCTTATCTTATTTTTTTTCAATACTTTTTTCAAGTATGACAAAGAAGACTCCTTTTTAAATACACTTACTTTATTGATTTTGGTAGGATCAGAGCTGTGCTGTGGTGTATGGATACTAGGACAGGCATGTGAAGGTCAGAGAACTCTCATTACAGATGGTTGTGAGCCATCATGTGGTTGCTGGGAATTGAAGTCAGGACCTCTGGAAGAGCAGCAGCAGCCAGTGCTCTTAACCTCTGAGCCATCTCTCCAGCCCTATCTTATCTTATTTTAAAAGGACACACACAGCTCCAGAGGAAAATCATGAACAATGGACTGAGGTTGCTCCCTCATCAAGTTGGGGATGGTTGGTGACTAGTCAGATTCATGAATGTGGCCCTCTAGGTGTGGTCTGGGGTCCACAAGATCAAGGGCAATCCGGGAACTTGTTAGAAACTCAAACTGTGGGTTAACTCTGCTGCACTGGTAGCCCAGCAGTCTATGTTCTGATAGCTTTCCTGCTGACTCCGATGTCTGCTCAGCTCACCTGCTGCTCTCCAGGACCATTCGGGTATTAGTCTGTAGACTTCACCTGTGCCACCCATGCTGATCTCTTTCAGTGTCACTCTCACTGTTCACCAGGGCTCCAGACCACTTCTTGGACCCAGTTCAGTCTTCATCTGACTATGAAAGTTCTACTTCTGCTACTGAATTTCAGCTTCACTACTGTGGCAGGTGAACGTGAACATGCTAAGTGCTAGGTGCCATTATCTTATCTCATCCTCATGGCAAAGCTACAGAAGAAAAGGTTAGTGTCCCTCTTCTATGGATGGGAAAACTGAGGACAAGAGACAGTCAAGGTCATGTCAGCAGTAAATGATGGAATAAGGAAGACTTAGAGTGCATGCAGAGAAGTCCAGCCACTTTACTGATGACTGGTGGCAGGCGTGGAGCAGTGGAGATGTGGACCAAAGCCTGCGGCTTTCCTTTTTACTACTCCCCGCTGCCTCACCTCGGCAGGGCCGTTTGCCCACTGCCTCATGGAACATCATTGCCAAGGATCCTGCTCTCTACCCACATCTGCCATCTATTCTTCACCACCTCCCATATCCTACTGTCCTTCATGAGGCCTTCCATGCCATCTCCTTGAGGTTCCCTGCTAGGGCAGGTGGCTCCCTCCCTTCTCTTAGCTCCTATCATGTTATCTTTCTCTATTTAGCTCTTCCTACTCTGAATTATACTCATGCCCAGGCTCCTTAAGGAGAAGCAGTGGTCTGGGTCAGTGGGCTAGGTGTTGACAATGACTGACAGAACAGGCACTGAGTCAATCGATGTGTCTTTGATGTGGCTATACTCATTCTATATTCATTCTGCTCAGCCCCTTAAGGACAAAGACCAAATCTTTTATGTTATACTCAAAATACTCAGCCATGGGCCAGGCACACAGTCCAGTCTATTACAGAGGGCCACTGGTACTCAACTCTGGTGTAAGCTGCTCTCCTAGTTACACCTCTAACGATGCAGCTTATACTAACAGTGGGTACCTGGCTACTATGCTAGTGGACAGAAACAACTCATTTTTTAATTAACAGAACACTAGAGTTAATGTCCTCAATTGTGATCAATAATAACCAGTACAGTTTATAAGCACATTTTCTGAAACTGGTTCAAATCCCATGCAATTGGAAGACTAAATCACAATCCTATCTTTAAAAACTGAGTCTACCAATGCTTTCACTTTCCCTCTTTGAGAAGAATATACACTCTAAAAAACCATATCACAAACTCTGTCTCATTATAAAAAAAATTAGATATTTTCATTTAAGACATTTATCATCTGTTACAGTTACTGATCTTGTTCAACTAATAGGCTTTTAACAGGAAACTATCTCATATATTCTAACTCCTGTACCATACCCAGAAAGCAAAGATAAAATCAGAACATGAAAGTCAATAATCATTAAACTTTTAAAATTAGATCTGTAAAGTTGCAGGAACAAGATAACATAAAAATGAAATGCTACCTTTCTTAATTTATAAATTACTTAGTTCTATGTACTGCTTAATAGAGAAAAATACCAAGCCACAATATATTTTTAACGAACTGGAAGACATGAGATTAAAAGTACGTAGCAATGAAAAGAGATAAAGATGATCAAATGACCATAACCTTTCAGCACTTACTGATTCCAATTAAATCTTGACACAGCACACATACAGTTTAATAATAAATATACAACAAAAGGGGTTGATGAGCTTGGCAATCGCCTCTAAGTCTGAATCAATGTACCACTACTGAACAGACAGCATTAACTTACCAGCTCCACAGATCCATAATGTTTCCTACTGAAATCCCCACGTCTACAGCCTAGGTCTTCTGAGACAGAGCTGGAACAAAAATGCTTCATCAGTATTATACATAGCGATCTGGCTACACACCTTCTGAAAAAAAAAAAAAAAAAAAAAGCTGCTATGGAACAGGCTTGCAGTGCCCGGCACCTCACTGCAGGGGAGCCTCCTTGCAACAGACACCGTCCCCAGCAGCCATTGCAGAGCCAGGCTTTCATGGAGCCCTCAGTCAAAAGAAAAACGTCCAAGTCATCCCTAGAAGTATAGAGGATGATTGAATTAAATATTTAGTTCATTTGGAATCAATTGGAATTCCCAAAGCTATTGGTGGGTTATGATTTCATTCCGTATTACCGGAGGGATGGCAGCCCTGCAGGAACTCAAGGCAAGGGACAAAGCTGCTGAACCAGATCCTGCAATTATCTTTTGCTTAAAGAGTAGAGTCTCTTTGTTTCAAATATGCAACATAAAAATAACCAGCATCATTTAAAGCTGTATTTTAAGGAGGAGACAAAAATTCCCAAATCCTCATAAGGTCCCCTCCCCTTCCCCAGCATTTAATTTAAGATTTTTATGTGTTAACATGAAAGAGAAAGAGAGAAAGAGAGAGAGAGAGAGAGAGAGAGAGAGAGAGAGAGAGAGAGAGAGCGCAGAATAGAAAATACGAAAATCTAACATCTGAGTATATTCATTTTTGACATGGCAGCAACTAATACTTCCCACCCTCCCCTCTATCCCCACCCAAACAGGCTTAATCAGAGAAGCAAACTCACATGCCGTGGTCCAAGAGCAAGGAAAACAAAGATGAAAATTGCTACTGTATTTGCATCTTGCATGCGTAGCTCCCCTCTCCAAAGGCACATACCTTACTGGCTACTTAGTCTACCTAGGACTCCATACAGTACCCATGAAACAGCAGAGAGCCCCCCCCCTAGGACAAACAGTTTGAATAAGTTTGCCTTGACTATACATGCAAACAGCTCTAATACAACAGAAAATAAAATTCCGCAAGAATCACACGTTTCATCTATTCAAACTAGTTGGACTGTCACATGCAGAGACAGGTGCGCTCAGTACCTTTTCATCCTTCCTTACAAGGTAGCTACATTTTCTAAATTACAGCCCTTCTGGCACATTTGGAAGAGACTGACTCTGATGTTCAGCATCCAGAGTTGACTCTCTGCCAGGACACCGTTTGATAGGCTCCAAGAAAGACAGCATGAGAGAAATGAGATTAGCGTCTAATGGTATTCTGCCTCCACCATTTCACAGAGATGGCTGAATTAATCTTATACAAGAAAGTTAACCTTTTCTCGCCCTCACTCCTTTAGCTGAAAGTGTGTGACATTACCAATGAAGACAGTTTCAAAGGGGTGCCTAGGTTACCTCCCTGTTTGGATGGACATCCTTTCTCCCCTTACTCAGAACACAAAAAAATCTCTAAGAGAGACTAAAACAACTCCCCACTGGTTTATTCCAGTCTGGCCTCTCTTCCCATTTGTGGAGTGTGGTCTGAAAATGCTCCTCGAGACACTGTCCTTGCCCTGCATTTTGCTTCCAAGGCTCTCTTCTGTAAGGCTGGGTTACTGTAGACAGCAGATCTCCTTCAGAGGCGGGTCTCTGCATGGCAAAGCCCAGGCAGGGTGGATGTGCTGCCCTGACTGCAACCCCAGCTTTGGTTTCAAAAGTCAGGACCATAATTAGGTCAGCAGCAGCAGCAGCAGCAGCAGGTTAAACTCAACAAGCCCAACATGAAAAGCAAAAACAGGGGCTCCGAGTCCTTCCGCTGAGAAGGTCCTAGGACACAGTGTCAGCTCTTTATCTCTGTCAACAGCCAGAAGCAAACACAGCAAAGACGGCAGCTCTCAGTCCCACGATTATACGCCACCCTAGAGTATCCACCTTCCCTAGACGTCTCTTAGATGGGCAACAGCACCCCATGAAAACGATCAAGGGTGCCACAGCTATAGGATACCTGCTGCCAGCTGCCCTTTCCTCTCTCTAATTACACCCTCTAGCCCTCTGCAGAGAGCTTGCTTGTGTGAGAACCAGGATTGGGGCACATACCTTGTTGGCCTGTAAGAGGCATCCAAAGCAGACGTGTCCAGACATGGGTTCTCAGTGGCAGGGGCCATTCAAAGCTCTCCAGGGAACTTTGATTGCTCCAGGCCCACTGTTCTGCCCACTGCCTGGCACAGGTGGCAATGGAATAAGCCTGTATTCGGGGATGCACACACATCATCCAGATCTTCCTGGACAGTGCCTGACAGCAGGTTGCCTGCTGCCATCCTCCCTGATGGGCCTTTCAGTCTCCATCTAGGCAGGTCTGGCCTACCACGCAGGTGCAGCTGTGTGTCCTGAATTGACAAACTTACTCTGTTCTCTTGGACTCACTGTTGGACTGTATTTGTTTCATCTTGTGATGAGACCATGGGATCTAGCTCGGGTCAAGACAGGATGGGACAGAAATGTCATAGACGACTTGCAGACCCATGCCCTGGGAGGTGCAATAGCCTCCCTGGTGTAGCAGGGTGGGAGACTCCAAAGGCCTGCAGCAGGGCAGAGCTTCAAGATGAAGAAACCTAGGTCTCTGTGTGTCTGTGTGGATGGCATCAGAAGTGGAATGGGAGGCACATATTTACCAAAGTAAGTGTCTTACATTGGATGTTATGATCACAATCACCTAACATGTGGCCCAGATTTAGGGGTCAGACAGAAGTGATAGAGAGTCTAATCATGGGGGCTAGAAAGGCAGTGATCTGCCTTACACAGCTGCAAAAATATTTGGAAAAAGTGAGATCCACAGCAATTCAGAAGGTGGACCATGTCCCTTCTGAGGCTGCAGCTTCTGGAAGGCAGGCCTGACAGAATCAGAGTGAAGTCACGTGCTAGCTCCCACTGGCTTTTTCACAGGGAAGAAAGCAGGTTCTGGAAAGAACTAGATGGGTGTTCTGGTGTGTTTTCATTACCAATTTAACAACATAATCACCTGGGAAGAGGGTGAAAGGAAAAGTATGGGCTCAGGATCCCAAGGCCACGTTCTCAGCACAGAGGAGATTTATCTTCCCAGAGGGACAGAGGCAGGAAACAAGAGACAAAGACAGAGGATGAGGGAGAAGGGGAAGGGAACAAGGGAAAGGGGGTCAGAGGTATTTGACCTGGAGGGACAGAGGACGGCCTCTGGATAGAGAGGAGACAGACATAGCACATAGGCAAATGGCACATAGGCAAATGGCGGTTTACAAAGGTAAAGAGGGAAACCCCGTGTTAGGATGAGGTGTTTAATTTTGATTGGGCATGTTAATTAGGTGACCAAAGGGGGCTTCTGATTGCTGGACTTCAATACTTTGATAGCTGGAACTTGTTAGTCTCAGGAGGAGGAAGTGGCCCAATAAGGGAACAGGCCTTGGTGGCAGCTTTAGGACTGTAATCTGATGGTTTTTAACAAGGCAGAGGGAATGGGGAGAAGGGCAAGGCCTGCCAGGGCCATGCTCACCACACTTGAGCTGGCCAGAGTCCCTTCAGAGGGAACCTTAACCAAGGAACTGCCTCAATCAGACTAGCCTGTGGCCATGCCTGTGAGAGATTGTCTTCATTGATGACTGATGGGAAGGCCCAGCCTGCTATAGGAGGCACTATTGTAAGAAAGTGGCCTGGGCTGTATAAGCCAGCTAGCTGAGCATTGGCCATGAGCAAGCCAGTGAGCAGCGCTTCTCTACTGTTCCTGCTTCAAGTTCCTGCTCTGTGTGAGTCCCTCAATCACAGACCGTGACCTGGAATTGTAAGGTGAAATAAACCTCTTCTTCCCTTAGGTTCTTGTGGTTAGAGTGTTTTTACCACAGCTACAGAAAAGCAAGCTAGAACAATGGATTTAGGTAAAGATAGAAATACAGAGACTCCAGAGAGAAAGGGTTTCACAGAATTCAGAAATCAGCTTCTGAACCCCAAGCAAGAAGCATTCTGGCCAATGGAATGTGGTGGGTCTGCACCTCGTCTGCATCTAGGCAGGAGCCTTTCCTGTGAGCAATCTGTGGTCTGGTTCCTTATCCAGTAGCTGGAATGGAGAGGTCTGGGAGGACCACAAAAGGTACAACAACAGGATTAGGCTGTCTTAGAGACTACAGAGAAGAGTCGCAGTAGGAGTGACCTCCCTGGGCTGTGTGTGAATGAGAAATAGCACACTGTTTGAAGTCACTAAGCATCGGGCTTATCTACTGCAATAAGCATTTTTAATTTTTTTCCATTTGGTACTGGGGATTGAACATAGGGACTTGTGTGTTCAAGTGCTCTATCACTGAGCTATATCTGTAGCACAGTTTTGTTTGTTTGAATTTTCCATTTTGGAATACAGTCTGGCCTTGTACTTGGATCTTTCTCCCTCAGTCTCCAAAATAGCTGGATGATAGACCTGTACCACTAGGCCCAACACAGTAAGTCACTTTTTGTGTTGGATGCCTGGGGAGGAGGGGCCTTCTGACATAGCTACTTTGAATGCCCCCTGCAACCCAAGAAATAGGACTCATGGCCAGGTCCCACATGAGCAAGCTCTCTGTAGCTAACTCGAGGAAGAGCAATGTAACTTCCATAGAGGGGGATGTAGAAGGTACACAAACCAGGATGACTCTATGTCAGGACAGCAATCCACTGTCTACTTTAAAAGCAATTTTCCTAGAACACAGCCACACCTACTCATTATGGATTGTCCATCTGCTTTGGCATTACAGCAGTGGACTCGAGTAATTCCAACAGAAACCCTGATGACTTAAAAAGTCCAAGCTATTTACTAAGTGGTTCTCAAAAGAAAACCAAAAAAGCCACATTGCTGTCCCCTGTAGCAGTCTCAGGAATCCCTACAGTTGGTCTCAGGGCAACCCATAACCCCACATTCCTAATATCCACAAAAACACTCAACCTGACTCTCTGGGGAGCTTTGTAACAACGTGGATTCCCTGGTCCCGTTCCCAGAGGCTGTGTTCAGCCCATCTGCCAGCCAAACATTAGCCCGGGGAGTTCTGCTGCAGGTGGTCACAGGTAATGCTTTGAAAACTGCTCTTCCAGATGCTTCTGGAATCCCTGGAAACCTGCCAACCATG